TGACAGCACAGAGACGAATCCGAGTACAGTAGTCTCCGCCTAAGATCCCACCGCTTACGATCCCGGTTCGCTTAAGATCCCGCTGTTTTAAGAAATGTCAGTCGCGTCAAAGATCAGCGACTATCAGGAATGTGATCACATACACGTTGTAAAACTCGATGAAGCAATACAATGTTTGCACCAGACGGGATCACACCGGGGTGTGAACTGACCAACACGTTTGTTTTCCCCGAACATCGCACTCACACCTGAGCTATCCCCCTAAACTTACATCACTCGCTGGGCCTACACGTTCGCTCCAGGCGGGATCACATTGAACTGTGAACTCTTCCTCGACCATTAGCACCTGTCTCTACTCCCGAATTTGCGAGACAGACTGAATTTTAATTGGTGTGTTCACAACGTAATGGTGTGTAACGACAAAGGCGGTTTGGGGGGGGGGGGCTCAGTCAGAGATGGAAAGCTGTAAATTTATGACAGGTAAAGGGGAGGGGTATCTGGAAAAGCGTAGATCTTGAGACTCATGATAGGATAATAAGTGAAAAAGGCTCGCCTCATGCCCCTATGCACTGCGATAGGTCATCAAAGTTAACCACTCTTCGCTCGCCATATGCCATAAACCCACCAAGGGGGCACGTCAGCTCATTGTAGAGTGGAGGGAGACCATTTTATCGATTGTGAGCCTTAACATGAGTCGCCATAGATTCTTCCCTGGGTTCATCTGTTAAGATCCCGGTTCGCCTAAGATCCCGCATTTCCTTGCTCCCGAGCACCGGGATCTTAGGCGGAGACTACTGTACTAATTAAATTTTATTTGCGGGGCGGCACAGCGTTTAGACAGGTCAGTATATATATATATATATATATATATATATATATATACTGCACAACCTGCATGTCACAAATGTTGCGTTAGTTATCAGTATGTCACCGGCTTATTTCTGAAAGCGAAAGTAGATCTTGATTTTCCCGATCAAGCCTCGGTGTCACGCACACTTTCGCCTGCCGCCATAACTGACTTTTTGCGTGAAACGTACTCTCGGACGGGGAAAAGAAGAACGAATATTATATCACAATAGCGACCGGCTAAAACGGAGTCATGTACCGCGGCTAGGGTTCAATGAAGCCTGTTTTGGCTTCATCACTCCCTACGCAGATTAATTTACGACCGTTTACCAAATGTTTACTACCTTCAAGGTGCAATTACTACCATTTACGACCTTTACGACCAGAGCGCCGAATTTACGACTTTTTTATGACTTTGCTGGACACCCTGTGATATGGATTTGGCCTAGATCTAGATCTAGGTTTAATGAGCGAGGAGGGTGGCGAATTCGTTCACTTCAGCATCGCAAAAACTGGAGAAAAGGACAGTGGGAATTAAGGGAAAAGGGAAGCAGTAGAAAGCTCTTACTGAAGGGAAAGAAGTGGAAGACAACTAGCCTTTGAACTCAAAGACACTTTTGCATTTCTTGTTACGAGTATTCATTTTTGTGTTTGTGAAAGTGAAAGCAGCTCTAGTTGTGAGAAGACAATGAGGAAATAACTCCTGTTTCATGAATTGGATAGCAGTGAAACTTCTATACAAGTTAACTATTTCTGCTTGAACTGTGGGGAGACAACGAAAAATCTCTCGTTTCATGAGCTGGACAGTGGTAAATCTTCTACAATTTCCACGTTTCTGAACCAATCGAACCAAAAGTAAGTGTTTCTGAAAGCTTATCATGTCACTGTTGTATACCACTGATTGTTTTATAGATCTGAGGTTCACATTTTTAAATATCGTAATTTTAAAAAGTAGACCCACGTAAAAATTTCCCTTAAAGTTGCCCTCAATTGCGCCATGTTTTAAAGGGGGCCCAGCTATGAATATCAATGAAAAATTATTTGCTCTAAAGCTCAAGAATGCCTTTATCTGTTGATAGTATTTTTACTTTGATTTGCCTGTGGGTAAAGCCACAATGACGATATTAAACTGTACAAAAATTGTTAAGTCACAACAGTTCACTCGTAGAGCAAAGGTCAAAGTGACCTCCCTGGCCACCCGGGCATGGCATGGCTGACCGGGTCAATTCCTCGGGTAACTAAGTGCTCCGCTCGGGAACAGCCGTGTCGCGTTATACTATGCCAAAGTCTATCCCGACGCGTTCGCGATCAGCACTCTAAGGGTTAATGATCAACTGTGCGACCAATTCCCACATACTGACCATCCAAATCTTCAAACTCACTACTTACTTCTCCAAGCCTGGGTTGCTCTCCAAGTGACCACGGATAGCTTTACGCATCATGGTGTTCTTGCCCATCAAGATGACTGGAGACAAGAGTCAAAACATTCAATTCAATAATTACACACTGCTATTAAAATTGGATATCAGAAACAAGACGAGTCGTAAAACAAATTAGCAATGCCAATGAAAATTTAAATTTTCACTTTTGCCCCCTTTTTTTTGGTACCTAAGAAAGAATTTTCAATTCTG